GTGACCCGTCTGAAGTGAGTTAATGGTGATGACAAGAGCAAGAGCCAGTATGAATCATGCGAGAGACTTGAAAACCCACTTGTTCTCTAAGTAGGTGAGCAGCTTCAGCATGGTGGCAGCCTCGGAGTAGCAGAACTCCTCCCGGAACTCATACTTCTCCACGATGTCTCGGTACACCAGGTGGTGGATCGGGGCCAGGCCCTCCTGGAGAGAAATGTTTTAGTATGAGTTTTACGGCATTTGCAACACAATAAGGTCATATAAGTGCCGAAGATTAGAGGTGTTACAAGAGAATAACAAACACAAAAAAGAAGGTGGGGAGATAAGGACGAGAACAAACTTTGAAAAAGGGTGACTGACTAGGAAAAAAGAAAAAAACCCACAGTCAATAATATAGAAGTGAGATCCCCTGTTCATTTGGGTTCACGGATAGGAACAAACTTTGAAAAAGCGTGACTGATTGTAGTAAGCCACTCCAGGAAAAATCACATAAATTGGAAGGTAGAGACATTGCATGTGTGGCAGCGTGATGAAATCAGGAGCTTGTCAAAATAATGAACAGACATTTTGCTGTATATTATACATATATACATATCACAATTTGTTGTGGACCTTCAAGTTTCGTTACAGGAAGGCAGAGAAAGAGGCAGGAGAAGAAAAACATCCCAGAATGGATAGTAAAAACCAAAGCTGGACTGATTTGACTTGACTTGACACCCTGAGAGAGTCAGAAAGATAGACAAAACTGAGGGTCAAATCATCCCCCACCCTCCCAAATCCCTGAATGAGAACGAGAATGAAATTTAAAAAAAAGATTTTTAAGGAAAAACCTATACGTAGGCCTACGACTGGGGTCATTTTGTAACCCTCCCCCCCCCGGGTTGTATTCTTCACATTTTAGAATACACTTCTAGTGCGCAGATCTCTTTGAAACTTTCAGTATTTCTCAAAAAATTATCTTGACAGACTGCTATGCAAAGCGACTTGATCAAGTCAATTTCCTCTTTGGAAAGTGATGGCACAGACTTCCCCACATGATCGTATGGATACGATAGTAAAACACAACGTACAGATAGATATAGGGTTAATAATCCTCAGCAAGCAACTCACATTTGACAAGGCGTACTCCTCTGCAACATATTCTTTAGGCATCTCAAGACACGAGAGGATCATGGCTGAAACAATCCCAGTTCTATCCTTGCCGTGGGCACAGTTGATCAAGACTGGTAGATTGTTGGGGTCTGACACAAGCTTCAGGGCTGGGGAAAGTCAAATAGTCTGAATCTATACACTGGGATAAGGAGGAGGGGAGGGCTTTGATGCTAAGCCTTTTGTGTCACGACCTGGTGGAATCAGGTGCTCGTCAATTTTTGAGCGGAGTTACTGGTATTTAGTTTGTTTACTTGTCCTTCTATGGATGAATAAAATACCTATCCATCTTGAATAGAAGTCGAGATATTTGTCATGGAAGAAGGTGGGGGTAACCTGTTTTCTAGGGTAGAATTTGCGAGAAAATGGCCGCCAAAGTTGGGTTACTTCTAGTGCTTGAGAGTCCTTAAAAACTGAAAATTTACTTATTTTGCGCCATTAATCAATGTTTTTCAGTAAAATGCACAAGGAAATGTATTTTACGGTGAGCCAAAAAGACAAAAATTTGAAAAAAATTGCCAATCTCTAATTTTGATCATTTTGACAAGAACCCGATTTCACCACGAAGCCTCACATTAAAAAATTTTTTGCACCGGTCCATTTCATTTTCCCAATGACAGCACATAGTAGGAAAAATCTAATAACAGTGAATTACAGGGCACATCATGCAGACATTTAATCCTTTGGTAATTTGCACCATTGAGTATGATTGAATCGTCTTGACAGCAATTGGCCACTTATATGTTTATAAAGCATATATATATATATATATATATACATGGCCCAGAAGGATGACAAATTGAGATTATATATATATGAATATATGTGATTACCAATTTAATAAATCTACCTTGAAAAGGTTACTTCTTCGTTTTTCTATATCATGAAAAGATTTTTTAAAACTTACAGAGAGCTTAACATAACAAAAAAATTACCCACAGACAATTTTCCTAAATCACTGACTGAGGACAATAAAATTGCAACATGTATGAATGTATGGTGCAATTCTACACTTTAGAATTTATTTGTAGCCATCCAAACTATAGCAATATGAGTGATATCGATTGGTAAAGTAGGTTGTTAGCCAAACCTTTTTGCTTTTTCTAATAATGGGTTTTAGAGCTTCTTACTTTCTAATTTTTAAAAAATTAATTTATTTTAATTTAAAGGAAAATTTTCTGAGGCATTCGAAAGAGCGGTTATTCTCTCTCTGTCTTAGTGATTTCGGTGTGACCACAAGTAACAGTAAGTGCCACTGATGCATTAACAATGACACAAGCTCAAACTTGAAGATGTCCATGCCTTGGAGATGATGACTCTGAGAGTGAATTGGTTTCAACATTTTCAGATTCAGATGATAAAATATCACCCATGAGGAAACAGAGATCTTACAAGCACAAAACAGGATTGTTTTCCAGTCTCAAATCTGGGCTTCATTCTCATACACAAGCATTACTCGCAGAAGTACATAAAAATATAATAGTATTTCAGAGAGGAATTCCGTAATGAGCGACCACCCAAACAAACACTCAATAAAAAAGAGGCTTTTACCTAACCCTGACCCAACTGCCTCGCCCCTACCCCTATGCTACCCTAACCCTCTATTCTACTCAGTTTCATGATAGTGGTCGCTCATTACGGAATTCCTCAGTAGTCAATATAATATGTGAGGCATCGTGGTGAAATCAGGCGCTCGTCAAAATAATGAAATTGGAGAAAATGGCATTTTTCCAAGAGTTCGGCAATTTTTATCAAAATTTTGTTTTTCGGCTAAAACCTTTTATGTTGATACATTAAAACACATTTCCGAGTGAATTTTACTGAAAACCATTGTTTAAAGGCACAAAATATGTAATTTTCAGTTTTCAAGGACTCTTTTTATTTAAAAGCTATTGAAGTTGCCAAACTTTGGCGACCATTTTCTCATTAATTCAACCACTGAACCCAGGCTACCCCACCTTCTTCAATCGCAAATATCTCGACTTTTCTATTCAAGCTATTTCGATATTTTTTTCATTGATTGCAAGGCAATTGAATAAGCTTTCAGGCGATATAAAATCTATACAATAACTCCACATGCCCAAAAATTGACGAGTGTCTGATTCCACCACATCGTGCCACATATGATATATCCACCTCGATTTCCTTTCACGTCAAAAAGTGCCCATCTGCATAAATTTAGACCCCCCTCCCCTGTCTCTCTCTGTCCGTCTGTCTATTCTCCTTCTCTCTCTACTCTCTGTCTCTCTCATGGTGGACATAAAACAATTTATTTTATTTTTATTTGCTTGGTAAACTTAAACTATTTTTAAGCTTCTTTGCTGAATGATTGTTCCATAATATAATACATATGAGCCACTGCCAAAACGTGGGGAAAAACACACACATCTCACAATAGTGTGCATAAAATGTGATGCATTAGTATTAG